ACACACACACACACAAACACACACACACACACACACATAAACAAAAACGTAAACACACTCACACACACACACACACACACACACATACACGAACATAAACACACACACACACACACACACACTTATAATCTTCAGGTCTGTCACTATAAACTCAACAATCACAGGTCTGACGGTGATGAACATCATCAACAGAAATATTCATAATCATTTACACACTTCAATGAGCAGGACAAGATTACAATGAAACCTGGAAACTCAACACCTGTCTCATTAAACCTTAAAATCTGAGTGCCGGAGAATGGCAGTAAATGCAGGAGAGGAGCTTGGTTTCTCCTCATCTGTAAGCGCACGGTTTAGAAACGCTGTGACGCTGAATGGAGGATAAAGGGAGAAACTCAATGTCTGGTTATTTGAGAAGCTGCAATGATCCTGAAATCCCATCCGTTCACTGCAGGATCATCATCCAGAACAACAGACGAGCCTCAAACCTCCGCCAAACACACGGATCACAGTCCAGATTCACAGATGCTGCTGACATGAGTAAAAGCTTTATATATATATATATATATGTGTGTGTGTGTGTGTGTGTGTGTGTGTATATACTGTATGCATGTTTGTGTGTATATATATATATATATATATATATATAGTATATATATGATGTATGTGTGTAGTAAGAATTAAATAATTACAAATGAAATTAATTAAATAACAAATTAAATAAAATCATTACAAATTAATTATACATATACATTACATATATAACTAATTTCCTGTAAATAAGCTATAAAACATCTAAAAACAACCTAAAACCTAATTAAAAAAAACATATTTATACATTAAATAAACACACACACACACACACACACACACATATATGGTCACACTTTATTATAAGGTCCAATTATCGCTATTAACAAACCATTAACTACAACTTCTAAATAACCTCCTAATTTGCTGCTTATTAATAGTTAGTGAGGTAGTTGTTAAGTTTAGGTGTTGGGGATTAGGGGTGTAGAATATGGTCATGCAGAATATGTGCTTAATAAGTACTAATAAAAAGCCAATATGTTAATAATAGGCATGTTAATAAGCAACTAGTTAATAGTGAGAAGGACCCTTAAAGTGTTTTCCTGTAAATATGTTACAAAAATAATCTAAATTACCCTAAATATCTCATTTAGGGTAGTAGCATAACATTAATTTAGTTTTACTAATAACCACATACAATAAACTTGTAATTTGTCATCATTGAAAATAAAATGTTTCATAAATTCATAAACAACAGTCGTGCAATGGTTAACTGCAGACATAATTTATTTTTAATTTCAATAATGAAACGCTGCTGCAGCCTGACGAATTACACGAGACATCAACGCAATTCACTCGCCCTCCTGCTGTCACAGACAATAAACGCCTGTGTGTGTGTGTGTGTGTGTGTGAAACACTGGTGTGACTGACAGCTGCAGCTTCAGGTGATTGGATGGATGTTTGTGCAGCAGTGAATCTCAATGAAAGCTCATGGGAAACCACACACACAGCAGCATGGATGAGAGTGTGTTGTCATGGGCAACCGCTGGACCAGAACCACATACAAACCGCCAGACAGATGAAAACCAGACGTGCAGAATCACACAGAATTACACTCACAGCCGCTGGAGTCCACAACACCTTTCCTGTATCAATCCTTAATTAACTGTATTTTTAATAAATATCTTTCAGTTATCAATCAAAGTACTAACACTCCTTTTCAGTAAACATCTGGTGTGGCTGCACACACACACACACACACACATATATATATATATATATATATATATATATA